CATTTTTACGTGCGCCCTAAGCACAAAACGTCGTGTACCACCCGTCATACAAATACAATCACCAAACAGGAATAGTAATTTTTTTTTGGTTTTTTTTTGTGGTCATATGTTGTGTGTGTTTGTCAATTAAGGCACATAAGAGAGACAGACACAGGATTAGGGACGAGACAAATAAAAAGATTTATGTGAAAATAAAACGCTCACAAATGCGATTAGCGTTGCTAAAATAATGTGGATATACAATTTAATGGCAAAACTTACATTTTCCAGCTGTTGCTTCACTTCGCTGATCACCTTTAGCAGCTCGTCTTTTTTCGTGCTGGTGAACGATTTGGTTATGGTGGGCGTAGCGGGCACAGACTTGCCGTTTTCAGTGTTGTGTTTGGCACTAATACTGCGTCGATCTGTAAAGTGTATAATACATTAGAGCAAGTTCTCCTTTGCTTTGCATTACCCAAGCGACTTACTTGTGCTGCTACGCTCCAGCATGCTGCCGGGACCTTCTGGCAGAGCGGCCTGCAAGAAACTGCTTGTCGTTGCTGGTATACTCTCCGAGCTGCCACCCAAGGTAGACGCCAGCGAACGTTCGGCATTCGCAGCGCTCGGTGTAGAGCCTTCGTCTTCAGTGTCGGAGGTGCCTGTGCCGGTGCCAGTGCTGGCTGTGTGTGTGCTGCCATTGCCGGGTAGCGTAAGGCCAGTCTTCTCAAATTTCTGTCGACGCATTGACTTGCGCAGCTCATCCTCATTCATGGCGGTGACTTTGAAGTCGCTACAAAAGCAGAGGATAAAATGAGTTAAGTTCAATTTTCAAATTATTCAAAGCGCGTGTGTCCACTTACGTTGGCGTGCTGGGCGATATGTTGTTGTAGAACATGCCGTGATCCGAACTGGTGCGCTCACCATCGGAGATGTCCTCCACATCACCATCATGCTCATTGGATTGTGGATCAAAACGCAGGCCAGGCTTGCGCTTTTCCGGCACCAACCGATTTGCCGTTGTGCCACCATTACTGCCAGCCGCTATTGGCACTGTACCGGTATTATTGCTGCCAATAAACTTCAACTCCCGCCGCGTCTCCATACCCGAGTCTATGGACGAATCTTCACTGAGGTAAGTCTGGTTGTACATTATATCCTTGGAGGACGCGCTGTTATAGTCGGACGTTTGCGTATTGCCTATACCGCCACTACTCAAGCCAACTCCGCCACCGATGCCGCTACCAACACCGCCACCACCGCCGCCGCCGCCGCCGCCGCCGCTCGATGACACAGTACCCAGTGGACTTTCTGAATTCGAACGCAGGTCGTCAGGGTCAAATGGGCCACGTTGCACCCAACGTCCGCGCGCACGCGGTACGCCACCAACACCCAACTGACTGGGTGAGGAGCTTAAATTGGAGGCGGACGAGGCAGATTGCATGGCAGATACCGTCGAACCGGGTATGGCAACCCCCCCACCGTTACTCGGCTCATCTGCATTGACCACGGCCTTGCGCTTCGCCCACTGCGGCAGTTGACTACCGTCAGAGAATTTGTAGCCCGGCGTCAGCGCTTGCTCGTCGGTGAACATGGACGGTGATGCTGTAAATTTTTGTGGTGTTGCCGACTCTTCTCTTTCGTGTGTTGGCGATTCGATGATGATGCCCTCTTGTGTGGCGATAATTGAACCAGGTCGGGCTGGAAGTGGCGCATGGCCGGAACGGAGTCGCTGTTGTGAGAGACGCGCTTGCATGGTGACAATCATATCATGCGGCACCTGCCACACGAAAATGCAGCCATCACCGCTGGCAGAGATTAGATGGCGGCAATCATTGGTGAATTTGAGGCCAGTGACGAGCTCACTGTGGCCATACATGCGCGCCATGCACTCATTCGAGTAGTAATCGTAGACTGCGAGCGTTTTGTCTGTGCACGAGGTGGCCACATAAATGCCGCTGGGATCTAGGCTAAGCTTAATCAAGCTGCCTTCGTCCGAATGGGAGCCCTTAAAGGTTTTCGTGTGTTTGGCATTCTGTGTGCCGTAGACGCGTATGTTGCGGTCCTGACAGGCGGTGAGTATGTGCTTGGAATTGGAATCGACTTCCATGTCGTACAGCGTCGTCTTGCCGGAGGTGTTTGTGCCGCGCAAGAAGATGTTGCCCTGAGTGGAGTGAAGACGAGGACAAATATAAAAAAAAAATTTGCTAAAATTGATCATAATAATATAATTTTATCAGCACTCACCTGAAACGTTCTGAACATAATCGACTTGTCCGCACTACAGGAAATCATCTGAAAATTGAGTCCCGATCCTACAAACTTTATCGATGTTATGGACGAAGAATGATCGTCCAACGTCTGTAGCAGTAAATAATCCTGCGACACGTCGAACACATGTATTAGTCGATCGCGACTTGCGCTCGCCAACAACTTTCGTTCGATCTTCTCATTCGAATACTCGAGACATAGCACTTCCGATTCGTGCGCCTCGATTGTTATGATTAGCTTGGTGTTTGCCAAATTATAGATTCTTATATTGCCACAACGATCGCCGCTGGCCAAATGCTGCAACTCCAGACTAATTCGTATGCAGCGTACGCCATTACGTCCACCATAAGCAGTATTTGAGTTCTTATCGCCCGATAAATCTTGATCCTTTATAAAATTCATTTCTTCATCGATGTACATAATTTTCAATAGTTCCTTGGAGTAGATATTTCTGCGATAGTTTTCAGTATTGGTACAACCATCAAGGCCCCACACGCGTATGGTGTCATCCGAGGAGCACGTCACAAACGACTCTTCGGGCAGTGTATCCGATAGCTCACGCTCCAAGTTGTATGGCCCAGTTTCCACGCCCCAAATGCAGGTGGAATGATAGAGAAAGGAGTGCGATTTACCCACACGCTTGATATCCCGCATGTCCCAGATGTAGAGCGAGTGATCGTTGTACACGCAACTGACCTGTGGGGTGGTAAAAATAAACTGTGATTAATTTTATGCTCAAGGTTAAAGGAAAGTGAGTTTCTGAAGGTTTCTAAAATAAGATTTTTTTTAACCTGAAATAAAATTTAAATATTATGGATACATTAATGCTTCTATATATTTTATACATGAAATGCTATTGAAATTTTGACCACCATCTTATATAAAACTGACTATCTCATAGGCATCGAGTCGACTATCATTGGATTAGTCGATGATTTTTAGTGGGAGGAAAAGCTTCTTCACAAAAATCAAGCTGCGGCTAACTAAGGCGATTGACTTCAAGCATTGAAAAGATCGGAGTCAGGTTAAGGCTGCGGTCCCTATTTAGGCCAACTGAGACTCATCACCATTTGCTAATTTTCTAACCGATTCGTTTCTATAAGAAAAGGCTTTTTAATCGGCTGGGCTCTGCAGACATACATACTTATACTATATAGTAATATAGTATAATCTCAAAAATCTATGCACATATCCTTGAAATCGAGCACCTACAGCACCAACTCTGCATGATGATGAATCGTATACAGATGGTAGGTCCTAATGTGGAGGGTAGGTTAGGTTATCGTAGCTGGCCTCATCCAACGTGGGAATGAGACATATTTAGGCCGCCATAAATCGCTGAGATACAGTAATTGAGGCTACTTATACCATTCCTTTCCCTAGAAGTTAAGCCAGTTCGTTATTCTGATGAAGGTAAGAAAGTTATATACTCATAGGACTAAGTTCGGCAAGACATTCAAGAAAGTAGTGATGGAACGGAAGTAGGCGGACTCTCCCCAATAGATAATATGCAATTCGTACGATTTGAAATCGGTGGAAACTTTTTTGGATATTTCTTAATAAACAGGCAAAACCTGGGCACTTTGTCGATGGATATGATGTGAATGATGTGTTTTTAGCAGATTCCCCTTGAAATATTTATTACTTTTAAGAAGTGAGCTAGATTTTCCTCTATCTAATTTAGGCTAGAAGTATAGTGCTATCCCACATCTTTTATTAGTCTCTTGGTTAACGTTATTCTCCAGCCAAGTTTATAGCGGAATACCGGCACTGAGAGCGGAACTGATCACAGGAAATGCTTTGCAGAGTGTTTGGTAACTCGAAGAACTCGGTTTTGGGAAAAACGTTTAAAGGTTAGTCTAGGAAATGGAGTGTTACGAGGGTTGTTAGATGAAAACGCTCGCGATATATTGAATTTATTGTTTAGATATGTAGACAAGTAGTTTAGAGTATCGATAACGATAATATTTATTGCAATTGGTGTTGTTTCGTATTTGAATAAGGTCTGTCTGTGATTCTCTAGAAACTACCTACTGCAATACTGTATGGGGTATAACCCAGAAGGAAATGCTCGCTGAGCTTAATGCTACACTAATTTTTACCCAGGCTCCAACACCGATAATTCCAGCTTAAAATATCCATTTGCGCAAAAACTCACCTTCGCTCGCTGCTCATCGTACACCATCGCCACACAGTCCGGGTATTTGGCATGCGGTGGCACAGCCATTATATGATTGATATGTATACCTTGCGCCACGTCCACCCCCAAATAATGTGTGCGCGGCAATGTCGTCACATATTCCAGTGTGGCGGCATTAAAAATGCGTATAATGGCTTCGGCACAACCGACGAGTATGAAACGTGAATTCACCGTTAAACAATTGGCACTCGTTGTGCAACATTGCACCCACTTGTCCAGCAAACGGCGTGAACTGAACTCCACCAAATGACCCTGCCGGGTGATGGCATATGTGCGATCTTTCATTTCATCTTTGCCGCAGGCGACCGCACAAAAATCATTGTCGCGCAAATCACCCAATATGGCACTGCGTCCCATCAACGGTATGGGATCCTTGTACTGAAAGAATGGGTGGAAGGAAAAATAATTAGTAAGTGAAAGTGAGTAGGTGGTTGAGCGAGCTTACACATACCCTGCGGCCTCCCTCCATATACCAGTACTTGACATGACGATTGCCCACTGTAACAAAGTAGCTGCCATCTTCGGCGAAACTTAGTGCCGAGACTTTGGAGCTGATTTTATTCGAGGCCATTTTTTGATTCAATTTCCAATCGAATACATTCACAATCATATCGTGTTGTGAACCAATGGAGACCAGGTACTTGCCGGTGGGTGAGAAGGCCTGCAAAAGAGAGTGGGAGAGTAGTGTTTGCATGAAAATGGAAAAAGAGGGGGAAAATATGTTTGTATTTGCAATTGCATGCGTTTGATGACTTACCACACATGTGACAGCGTATTTGTGATCGAAAAATTCGGCAACCACATTGCCGCCGGTGGTGTGCTCGAGATTGCCATTCGGCGAGTCCAGCTCCCATACTTTGATGGCGGGATTGATGCCACACTCGCCGGTAGCGACATAGCGGCCGCAGCGCGAAAATGCGACCGATGTGAAAGCTTTGCGGGAGGTGTTGACCAGGTAGGCCTGTGTTTGACGCTTGGCATTGAATAGGACCACAGTGCAGCTGTAAAGAAGTAAAAAAAAGGTGTGAGTATTCATGAAATTTGATGTGTAAACATGTGTGTACGGCGGCTTGGAAAAGCACCAGGAGATTCAGTTACATACGTACATATGTAAATAGGTTAGGTTAGAAATCAAACATTAATTTAATTTTATTTCGTTCATTTTGTCGGAATGATGAGTTTTTGGATGGTTCCGAAATGATCACAAAATTATGCTGAACTAGTTCCGAAATGCTCCTGAACTAGTCACAAAATGAGCCCGAACTAGGTTTAGATGGTCTTTAAGTAGCTCCGAAATGGCGCCGAAATGACCTCAAACAAGTTTTAAACGTCCCGAAATGCTCCCTTAATAGTCCGTAAATGATCAAGAACTAGTTTCAAAATGATCCCGAACTAGACCCGCAATTAACCCCAAATAGCCCTGAACGAGTCCCAAATCAGTCCTGAACAGGCTCCGACACGGTCGAAAAAATCGTTAACTTGTTCCGAAATGATGTCAAGCAAGTGTTGAAACGTCCCCAACTAGTACCAAAATGGCCCTGAACAGGTCCCGAAAAGATGGGGAACAGATTCCGAACTAGTCCCGAAATGGGCCTGAACAGATCCCAAAATGGCCCTAAACTAGTCGTAAACTAGGTCCGGAATATCCCTGAGTTACTACTTCAGAAATATTCAATTGTATACACAACACGAAATTACAGATTTTCTGCTGGGTTACACAAGAAGCACTTACAGATTTTCTGCTGGGTTAACGCAAATTTTACCCATACCGAGAACTAAGATGTTTACACATCAAAAATTGTGCAAACTATGAAAAATTATGAAGAAAAGTAATAAAAGGAATATTTTTTAATGGCAAAAGTGTTGCATACAAAGCTGTTAAAGCCGTAAAATGTAAGTCATTTAAAATTTAATTATTTATGCTTACAAGCGCGACGGCAGTATTTCATTAAAAAAGCACCTGCTGACTTAATTAGCCTTATACCGACTTCCTTTTTTTCTTTTTCTTGCAAATTAATATTAAATCTTTTGCTGCAGTTGCGCGCTAAAAGAGAAATGTTCAAAAGGTTGAATCCTTTGTTAAGACTGTCTCGGGAAGGAAGTTCATTTTAACAACTTTTTTTCACAATGCCAAGTAGCGCGGCAGTAAATTCCCATTTTGTGCGACATAAATAGTGGCAAGAGAAAAGAAACTAGCGCGCTTAAAATGGTAAGGAAGTGAGAAAAATTTTAGTAAAAAAATTGTATTGCAAAAAGTAGTGAAAAGTCTGCATGCTGTTGCCTTGACTTTCCACGCGCTTTGAATAGCTGCTCACTAATACTTATATAAGCTGCTATTACGTTTTGCTAGCAGGAAAACTGTAATTTAAAATATCAGTGAGCTTTGTGATTCAAATATGCAAAAAGTGAAATTTATTACCAGACATAATTGTGTTAGTAATGTTGTATTTGGTATGAAAAATGTTCCAACAATAATGAAGAAGTGGAGATATGATAGTGTGAGAAGGAGGTCATTTTGAAATCTTTGGCAAATAAAACGAGTTACTTTTGTGGTTTGATAAGATAACAGGAATATAAGGATTAGCGTATAAGGAAGCTGATGCTATTTTGGCATTCGATGCCCTTATCTAGATCAAGTGTACATATATTACTCTACCGACTTTTATGGTTGTGAACATAAAAAAACTGTAGTTTCAATACTCTCTCTCCAAAAAAAACTCAATTTTAGAAAAAAAGCGGCGCTTATTATAATGAACCTGCGCCTTCGTATTGACTCGCGGGCTATGTCAGAGCCACATTCAAATTAAAAATAGTCGATGAAATATTCATAAATATGCGATGGCGTGCTTCTTCTATGACTTAATATTTGATCAGCGCCATCTGTCACTACATCGATACATTTTTATTTCGTTTAATGTCGTTGAAATTTGTATTATGTACTTTTAATTTTGTCCTAAGACCCGTATTCTTGTTCGGGATCGTGTTCGTGCTCGTCTTCGCTTTGTTTTCGTCTTCGTGTATAACTTAGCTAAATTCGACTTTTCAAACAAGTGGCAACACTCATACATGTAGTTTAGATATAAGTAAATCTCTTGCGTCTGATATTGGATACTTATTACACTGAGGGAAATAATGCATAGTAAAAATGAATACTTTATATTTGATTATCGTTTAAAAATGTTCGTATTTAAAAATAATATTTTCATACAAAATTTATTACGCACGTATTTGACTGTTCACATCTGAGTATGTATATGTAAGTGTACATACGCACCCCAAGCATGCAGAGCGCCGCTCTGAGAGCGGTGACAACACACACATACATACATAGTACATACATGTTTATCAGTACAAATCGCGTGCTGTGGTGTTGATGGATATTCAACATTTGAAAGCAAATTTATATGTCTGGTTGTAGCTGAGTGCGCAAAGATGCTTGTCACAAGTTGTTGATATCCGGAGATGGTCGGGTTCGAATTCCACTGCAGGCAACATGCAAATAAATTTTTTTTTTTTGTTTTTGTCTTGATTATTCACTTCACGGATGCTTTTTCAGTACGAACGCGGTCATTTTAATATGCTCGTAATTGAAATGAATATTTACTAATATACAGTACTTTCGTTGACGTTTATAGTAGGATCAATTACGTTTCTATTTGATTTTAATATTTTTTTCCCTCAGTGTACAGTTACCTGATGAGTTAAGTTGAATTTGATTCAATAAAGAAATAAAGCCTTTTTAAGATCATTTCCATTGATACCCATCTTTTAATAATTCCTTTAACATATTGAATAACTAGATTTTTACTTTCTAAAAAGGTGGCCTCCCTCTTTAATATTCTAGATGTTCAAGCTAAAGACTTCTTACCACTCATAAATTTGTGTATAACTTATGTGTACTTTAATGCAATTCGGGTTTTCTAACAGGTATATATTTAAATTATTTTATTCAATTAATGCAAGTTAAATTTAATTTTTAAAACAGGTGGCAACTCTCCTACATGTAGTTTAGTTTATTCAAATCCAGTTTGATCGATGTCCATATTGAACTAATTTATTTAGCCTATAGTATACACTGAATTTAACTTTGTAAACGGGTGGCAACCCTGTTAAAAGTATACTCAAACCCCAATATCTTTCGTGTGGCACTCATATCGTGATACATACGACAAAATACCACACCTTGTGAACTTGAACGATATAAAAATGCGGAGTTAAATCAAAAATTGTAAGAATAAAATTAAGATCATTTGAAAAAAAACAATGAATAGAAAAAAAATTTCAAATATAAAGCCCACAAATAGTGGATTTGATGTTTGCGCGGATTGAAGAAGTTGCAGCTCTTCAAGACGAATTTATTATAAATTACTTTTTCTTAATTGTTTCTTTTGTTATGTTATGTATGTGTTATATAGCGATGAAAATATAACTATGAAATATACATTTCCTATAATAAATTCTATTTCCACATTTGAAGTACAATTGATAAATAACATTTGAAATTGATTTGAGAGTTAACCATATTCTCAAATGGAGATGAAACTCCCCTTTTTATTGAGAAAGCTGTAATTTTCAAATCAATATCAAATCATTTTCAAACGTTTGACATTTGAGAAAGGCTTTGATTTCAAATCATTCTCAAATGTATATCAAACCTAATTGTTTGCTGGGAACCTACCCAGTCAACTAGTATGACGCCAGTAGTATCTCTACTGGTTGCTAATGATGTATATTTAATAGCCTGGCAAATGATATTACCTAGCACGTCGCCATGTGCTGTTCGATGTCCGACACCTGGCTTGGTGAGATCAAATGCAATGTGGAAGGTTTAGATTTTCTTTATAATCGAACCAAATAGAAAAAATACAAGAAAAAGCCAACACTTCAGGCCAAAAAGTATTACATCCTTCCTGAGAATCTAAATCAGATTCCTTTTAAGAATATCCAACTTATCAACAGCCCGACAGCAAGGGCAGGCCAATAGAAGTCAACGTAAATATAGGTGGATTTAACGGATGCTAAGAAATAAAATCATCATATTAACGAGCGTCACGTTGTGCTAATAAGTAAGAATTCAACGACATTGCCTGATATACTATAGATAAGTATATGGGATAAACTTCTACTGAATGAAAAATTCATGGACATTGCCTGATTGGATTACATGCAGGCAGACTGGTCGCACCTCTGGAACGATTACAGCAGTATCTGCATGGATGAGGGCGAAGAGGAAACCATTCAACACCTTATCTGCCATTGCCAGGCTCAAGCAAAATGGCGAGCAAAAACTCTTGGTAGTTATGTACTACTACTTCGATGATATCGATTACTTCAAAGCTATGAATATTAGGAGCTTATGCACTTTCTTGCCAAACACCAAGTTGTTTAAAGCGGAATGGCAATAACTGTAAACCTCAGCCTAATTTAACATAACCTAACTCATATGGTTGCCGGAAAACCGGAATGATAGGGCATTTGAAAAGCTCACGAATTATCCGATTGAGCTGGGAAAGGACACATCTTACATGTCATGAACTGGGATGGGTACATCAGACCACCACTTTAGTTGCAAGAACATAAAAAAGAAGAAAATATACAACATTTTTTAAATGTCGTTTTAATAAACCTTGCATTTCGAAAAAAATTTGCTAATATAGTTAACTGGGTTAAATGTATGTACATTAGGGTGGTCAAAAAAAAAAGTAAAGTCGGAATTTTAATGCTCTCATCCTTAAGGATTGTTCTATATCGAACAAATATACCCCTCTTTTTTATTTTGAAATCAAAAAATTCCGTGTATTTTATATGGGGAAAAAACAGCTTTTCGTATTTTTTGATCAGAAAACTTTGGTTCTCTTCAGAAGCCTTCCAATAATAATACTCAATTATTTATGAAACCATTTTTTAATACTAAAAATTTTTTATGGGTCGCCTCATTGTTTTTTCTGGGGTTTTTGGCGGACCTATAAAATATAGTTACTATGAAAAAAATGCCTAAATAAAAAATTGGGTATTATTATTAGAAACCGCCTAAAGAAAACCGAGTATTTTTCGATATAGATCAATTCTAGGGATTGAGAGCATTAAAATTTCGACTTTACTTTTTGACATGCATTTTTGGACCACCCTAATATGCATATATACATATATGTGTAAATTCGATTGCACCAGTCAATTCAAGGCACTACTGTAGCTGTTTGCTTAACGGCCTGAGCTCATATTTATGTAGTTTTCGCATATTTTTTGCGTTTTCAGCTTCATGTTTTGTATGTTAAGCAAAAGCAAACGGAAGCGCTGTATAAACATCAGCAATTGGTGGCCACTTTCAAAACACACGGATACGCAAGTGTTTGCATATGACAGTCTTTCATGAATGTAAGGACCAGTGATATGCTTCGAGTAACAATTTCGAGTTTCGAGCCAACTCGTTGCAAGGCAACTCATACGAATGAGTTGTACTCCAGTATGGCAATACAAGCGAAGCAAGTATATGTTTCATGAAAAGCTGTTCGATAGGCAAGCTTGTTTAAAATATACGCAACCAAGATTTGGTTCGAAAAAAATGTACATGTCAATGAGTTGAACATTAAGCAGAAAAGTACGTATGACTCGTTCGATGTACGTACTTTCAATCAACTCTTTTCAAGCTGTATATGTACATACATATGTATGTACATACGTATGTATGTATGTAATGTAATTTTTGTTCCTTTGTAAAAGCAAGTATGTATAGGATGCAGAAGAGCCCCTTGTAGTTCTGCTGGAGTTTTGCTGGTGGCTGGTGCTGGTGATTCCATGCATCACCTATTGTTAGGCAATTTGCTAGCGATATTATGCATTACTGGTCGTTAGGCAAAGAGCTAGCGATTAGTAATCGTCACTAGTGCACCAGGTAATCGCTAGCTAAAGGACAAACCACGCGCACCCTCTCGATACGCTTCAATGACATTGCCATGTTAAATTCGTTAGGCAAAGGAATTGGTGTAGTTATAGTTTAATGAAATATCAGCATGTTATTTTGTTCCGTAATAATTGCATTTTTTATGTTAATAAGGATAATAAATGAAACATACTGCGTATATGTACTTAACATTGAATAATGAGTAAAGTGGAGGTCTGGTGAAGAGTCAGAAAAAGCAGGGACCGAAAATAACAGTTGTTTTTTTAACAGTCAAACTTGGCCAAATATTTTTTAAGTCCGAAATGAAAGTAATTTCCTGATAGTATACAAACCGCATATACAAATTAAGTATAAAATGAAAGAGGACAGAAATAGCTTTTAAACAGAAATAGGCCAGAAATAGCTTTTAAACAGAAATACATAACGAACGAATGTTACCACCTCTATTTATATTTTGTTTATAATTGAAAACTAAAGAAATTCGTATACTTGCTCTTGTGTTAAAGCCCGTTCCTTTAGAAAAAAATTAAGCTACCAATGAAGAAAATCGATATATAAATAAGAAAGTAATTATTAAGTAACGAGAATACGCGAGGATTTTTTTGGAGAAAAAGTGTTACTCATACGCCACATACACCTGAGTTGCATCGTAAGCAAGAGCTGCCACGAATGATTAATTAATTTCACGGAAACTATCAGGGCTATCGAAAAGTTATGTATGTATGGTTTATAGAGAATTTTAATTGCTTTCATTTACCGTTTCTCGTATTACAATTATTCAATTGGTTCGATATACGTGATTAAGTGAAACCACTCCTGTTTTTGTAAACTGAATAAGGGTAATTTGCAAATATCTCGAAAAGTTATCAATAGAAAAAAAATTATCTCGCTTTCCGGAATCACCGGGAAATTCTACATAAGAATTGGATAGTGGCATCCATAGAACATTTTTGCTGTAAACCAGAATAATAAGTATGATTTGGCCGTCATGCAAAGGTACACACATATAGAAAAATACCACGCAGACACTCCATTATACTGAAAAGTGTACGCTTGGAATATTCTTATAAATATTCGTTTCAAACGAAAATAAGTTTTTTGCAGTCTCACATATATGTATGAATGTATCCTCTGTAACATCATCTCCTTTGCAATGTCCTTGAAATCTGTTCGGACTACCGGGATTGCTTTTTCTCATTTATTAGCGCCCGACATCGGCAATTTCCGGACAACTCATATTTGTGTCGCGAATGAAAGACAGCGCAAATTTTTTGTTTATCGCATTTCAAATATTAGCGATGTGATGTTAAATCTGTATGCATTTTTCCTTCGCGATAAAAGAAGTGCATGCCAAAATAAAAAACCACATTGCATTTCCTATGTCCATGAATACTTTTTGTTTATTTCATTATTAAAAATTATATGTAAATACATTCATATGCATAGACGTATTCACATCGATAAAACGAAGTATTTGAAATTTATTGCGACAAAATAACAAAATTTAAAAATACCTGAAATAATCAGTATACTTTACTGACGCCACTTGGAAATGCCAAGTGAAGCTTTATTTTATTTACAAACTAGATACAAATTCATAGCATACAAATTCTTTAATAGCGCATCCAATATCATCTTCTACTTCACAAAAAACAGACCACACTTCACTACGACCTTTTCTTTTATTACATTTTCTTAGAACACCGCTTTTGAGTTTTTCAGAAATATTTTCAATTGTATTCGACATAATTTACGCACATCAGAATCTTACAATAAAAACTGTAGAACATATAACTCTCGAATGAATACAACACGTCGTTTATACAGAACGAGTATCTCAATATACAAGCAACGATTCGGTTGGTTTGAAATTGTACAAGTGTATGATTCGAACAAAAAAAACTGTTCACTGCGTTGACTCGGTATAAAATTTAAAAGCAAGTTGCGGCTCGTACGCTTGACGTTGTTCATGTATCAAATCATACGTACATTAGTTCAGTATAAACGAACTCCAAATTCAAGTAGCTCCTTGCTTTTCTCTGGTAAGGACCCACAAAAGCCATGCAGTCGCCCACTATAGGAACCAGCTGTGCAGGTAATAATTCATTTTAGCGTCCAACAACACCAACCTTGTCTGCACGCCCGTCTACCCAACCCATCATCTCATGTCATCTCTATCTCATTCCTTTTCACGCAAGCATAGCCATTCACAAGTGTTTGCTCCTTGTCAACAACGCTGCGGGCTATTCTGAGATTGTCAGTTTCCGTTTTGGCCATTTTGTCGCATATAGTGCCTGAGTGATGCTGCCAAACAAAGCTACTTTGCTGTGTGCGGGAAATCCCACACTAATGCAAGCTTATGTTTGTATCTTTCGTGTGGAAAGTTATTTTACGAGGTCGCTGTCGCCGCCGCTGGCATAGCAGTTATCGCTTTAGTAGCAGCGCTTGGCATTCATCTTTTATTTATGACAAATGCAGCTGTTGCCCGCTTTCAAAGCCGCATTTGCCAATTGCGTTGACATCTTCACAGCATAGTCGTCGACCTACGGTGTGCACCCGCTCTCCTTCTTTGCTTTTCATCATTTTAAAATCCGTTTGCTTTCTCTGCCTCGATTTCAATGCTGTCTCAAACAATCAAGGACAAAGTACGCGTTGAACTAGAAACTTATACGCCTGTATTGGCAAACACACATACGTACGTACGTCTCGTGATTTCGTTAGAAATAGCAAAGTTCAACTAGGCGTATGCGCATCTTTAAATTGGTGGGGTTGCTATCTTGGAAAAGTTACTCATACGCCCCACCAACCCATAGTTTAATCAAAGTTGCTTCATATTTTCCTAAATTATACTGCTCTTTGCTTTTTACCAGTATAATTTGGATTTGCATTTTGCATTGCAAACGCTTTAAATTCCAGTTAAGTAAGCTTGTTGCCGTAATCGATATTCGGAGATTGGGAAATGCAATCAGCGTGACCAAATTCAATTTGGTGAAAACAATTTTTTCGTTTTCGGAAGGAATACATTTCAAGCGAATTAAATACCAATCATGAGCATTTATTTATGTATGTCTAACACAGATATACATCTTCAACAATTTAACATAGACGCGGAAGCCCGTTTACCTGCAGAAGTGCAAATCAATTTAAATTTTTTAGCACTCAGATGGGATTTTTCGATTCCAATTTATATCTTTTTGTTGTAAAGGCAAATTTGAAAAATTAAGCCAATCAAGAACAAGAAATTATTTGGGAGTAAAATTTGGTTTCCACAGTTCTGAAAAAATGTCGAAATCTAACAGGGCGCAGTGCGCCTGGACAGCACTACGGAAGTGAAACGCACGATTAGGAATGCTAGTCCCGAATAAAATTGCGAATGATGGCGGATAGATGGATCTGTGGCAGTGGCAGTGTAATGTTGCGCCTTCTGGCCTACTTTTCATTTCAATTTGATGTTACTTCCCTTTAAATGCAAAACCCATTAATTGCGGCTTATCTTTTACTTTTCTTCCTACTGAATAGGAAATAAAAGTTCTTCGAACATTCAAAGCCACGCGGTTTTGGTTTCCAAGCGCGTGCTATAAACTTTCAAACTTAAACGAGGTTTTGGTAAATGAAAGTGCTACTAAAAAAAACAAAACTAGTGCAACACTTTTGCTTGTAGCATTTGTGGTTAAATCGAAAAAAATGAAACTTACCCTGCTGGATAGGCCAGCAAACCGTTAACGGGTGAAATATCCAAGGCGGCATTGCTGCAAACTGTGAGGCCGAGCACTTTTTTGAGCTTTATCTGCAAATGAAAATGGGAAAACAAAAATAGAGTCGGTTAGAATTTTAGATCGAATGAAAGTACAGAAAGTAAAAGCAAAAAAAGGATTAATGAAAAAAAGGACGAAATTTCGCTTTCACAGTTCTTGCTTTATAGAATTTTCAATCAATACGAGTGGTGGGAATTATCGCAGAGAGAGGAAGTGTATAAATGTTGGAAGTGGAACTGAGCTTAGCAAAACATACATATAGACAAATCTTAATGCTATACTTTGTCTGTTTGTAGGCACTTATTTCACCAACAGGATGTATCAGAATAAATAAATCATATAAGTCAGTGCGCATAAACGTGGTAAAAGCAGCTAACTTTGATTAGTTTTTAATATTTATAATGTTGACTGCGTTTTCCGAAATGCAATTACAAGTTAGTTGGAACTCAGCGCGTCATCAGGGCAACATCTAAATAAGAAAGTCAAACACCCAGCAAAATTCAATGATTGGCAATGCCTCTCAGAGCGCACATTTCGGCAGTTAGATATCTTTACTCAAAATTTGGATTGGGTAAAAATGCTCACAATTTATAAACGTTGGCTTTGAAGTCGGCTAGGAATATGTTGAAAGATGTCACAAGAAGACAATGACCCGTAGTTTTTTTTGGAAACGCGGAGACGTTTCTGCAGTGACTTGAAGAAGCACCGTCAGAATAAATTGCCCGTGCCATTCATTAATAACCTGTACGCAATTTGAGGCAGCTTTCAAGTGGAGTACTAAAAATTTGGCGTGCTCTTGCCGCAAGTTACGTTGAAAAATTTATTTGAAAGTATATCGTGAAGGTGCCAGGCTAAATTCAGCGGTGCTGGTGAGTATTCACCCATTGCATTTTACTTGTTGTTAAAATATTTTAAATAAATGCTTTCTTAGCATACAAAATTTCAAAGCTTGCACAAATTTCACAAACATTAGTCAAACTTCACACAATTATCATCAAAATTTAAACTTTTTAATCACAATTCTTCGAAAATTTTCGGGTATGCAGTAGCTCATTCAATTTTAGTCCAATAAAGTGCAGGGTTGGTACTATTTTTTCATAGGAATTAAAAAATTTGTTATAATTTATGTCTTGTTCCAAAATATGTCCGAAAAATATTAAGATTAGATACGTGTGCTGCACCGACCTGAAAAACCATCCAAAAATCGGTTTTTATATAAATAAAATGAGATTAAAAAAAAAGTTTTACAAAAAATCACCTCAGTTTACGGAAGAGCTTACTCTTAAACGGTCTGCATAAAAATGTTTAAAAATTTTATCAACGGCATCAAAATAATGAGATGTTTGGAGGTTTTTTAAACCCGGCACAGCTAACGTAAATCTTAATATTTTTCAGACCGATTTTGTCGGACACATTAAAATATGATAAGTCTTATAATTCCGCTAGAGAAACCGCAACTAATTTGGGTTTTCTTCCCCAGGAATAGCAAATGCCTTGTTAAAAAACATGTTGCAAAATCAAACAAAAAGTTGTATATCGATATTTATCATCTGAATATTCAAATTAAGCAACGAACAACGAATAAATAAATTAAATTAAGCAATCAAAAATAACTAAACAAATTTAAGTAAAAAAAAAATATTATTTCTGGATTACAAAATCTTATTGAAAACAACGCAATAACAAAGATTAAAATAAATCAATGCAAATTCGATAAACAAGCATCACGTACCCACTAAACAAACAACAGCAATAATAAGCAAGGCTTGTCCCGCGCTAGTCGTTAGCGTGCTTGTTAAGCTACGTCATGCGCAGTCGCAACTGTCGCCGCACCAACGACAAAAGTTGACATCAGCTTCCAGGCATAGCACACAGATAATCACCGCATGCGCGCTAACAATTTCTATATTTATCAGCATTATTGTTTTATTTTATTTTTATTTTCTATTTTTCAGAAAATAACTCAGTATTGTTTTCCATTCTACAAAAGTCAGGCAGCCATGTCAAACAATTTGCATCGATTACAACACAAACAACACACAGCGCTACGCCAATGAGTTGGAAACAGGTATACATAAATAGAAAAATTTATTGTATATCCGATGCGCAAAGCCACTTTTATGCAAAGCAATATTACGAGTATTTCAAGCCTTCAAGCCAATTAGATATTCAACCATTCATACAAACACTCACTCGCCCATCCATTCATTCATGCATTCAATAGCGAGCAGGTAATGCGATACAAGTATTTGCTGCGCACTACTAGCCATTAACTGCGATGATTTTCAGCAAAACGACTTCTGCGACTTGCGATGTAGTCAGTCATTGTGCGACGTTGCGTATACGTAATGTATTATTAAAGTTCACCTTGATCTTGTCGGGCAACAGCGCAAATATGTATGTATGTACTACACAGGTGTTGAGTGTTGGCGAACGTTTGACTTAAAGCGCTGCTTTGTTGTTGTTGTAGTGCGCATTGTTGTTGCACAACAAAAACCATATCAGCAACTAGCGCGTGGGGGAAGTTAAGGAGCGTGAACCTATAATTGTGCAAACAGGTAGTTAGTTAGTTGGCAGTATTTGAAGTGTAAGAGAAGAAGCGCAGAGTTTAATGCGGGGACTAGAAAGGAAACTAATAAAAGAAGGAGATACAAACTATAACGATGTATTGATGAATTAATTCGATAGTTATCTAAGCGGTGAAATCATTGAGTTCACGTGGAAAGCAATACTAAGTGGGCAGGCGCGCTAATGGTTTTATAATTGTTTTGTCTTGTAAAACTAGCATATTTTTTTGCTTAATGCAAGTAATGCAGGTATAAAAAATAGTTAAAAGTTTTACGCTAAAATAAATAAATAGTTTTATTTATTATAACAAACAATCTGCTGCTTGTTAATCTTACTTTGCCATGAATTTAAATATAAAAATCAAAAGATTGCCGCGGTGTTAAAACTAAGGTCATAGTCATACGCTAGGAAATATTTTTTTTTATTTTTTAGCCTCGTTTCATTTTTTGGCACGGCCTATTGGACCTTGACTAATACTTATTTGCCAGTTGAAATGTTATATAGATAAGTTTCCATTTTGAAATTTTTTTCCCGCTAGATGGCGCTGTATGATGTGGTGCATGATTAGTTGAGATAAGATAAGATGTAATTATGCACGTAGGTTATAGATAAGATTAGATCAGAGGTGCTACTCAGTTTAAACCACTCCTAGGTCTGGCAAGTGTTTCATTACCCTGCAGTTACCAATTGTTACCAGTCGAAACCCGTTCTTATCGAACGGTACGTTCTGTTTGATATAAACAGTTATGAAGGTTAAGGTTCATATTAACCCTCTCACGACCAAGGGAAATATGCTTCCCAAAAAGTTTTCCCACTCATAAGAAAGCTGTGTGAATCATTTAAATCGCTCTTTTTATTATATAATTAAAAAAAAAAAAAAATTTACCCAAAAATACCGCAAATTAGAAAAAATATACTTTTAGAAAAAAAAGGTAGTGAAAGAAAAAAAAATTACAGAAAATTCAGTGTTTAGAAGAAAAAAAAACATACCAAAAGCAGAAAAAGTTATACAAATAGATAAAAGCCTTTTGTGGGGGAAAAAATGCAGTGTGTGAATTTTAAATATTTCTGTTTTTTTAATGCGCCTAATTTTTATTAACTAGCTTTTATAATAATAAAGAAATAAATATTTTTACCCAAACTAAAAATATTTACCAGAAAATGAAAAAAGTACTTTCAAAAAAAAGGTAGTGATAGGAAATCACTTTTTAGAAAAAAATACCATTTTTAGAAAAAAAAACCATTTTTAGAAAAAAAATTTAAGAACAAATTTACATGTGAGAGAAGATAAAAAAAGTAACTTTTATGCAAAAGGAGTAATTTTTAAAAAATATTTTTTACTAAAATATCTAAAAAGAAACTATTTTAACCAAGGCCGAAAAAAAAATTTGTATGGATAAATGTAGCGAAAAAAATCATATGGAAAGTGAATTGCAAATAATAATAGCTTTTTTACCCTTCTTTAACACGTTCGCTGCCGCCATACAAAACAAAAACCGTTCACCAGGTGCCAACAGAGTTTTTTTGTTTTAAAGTCATCTTTACGTAGTAGTTATATACTGAGTGTGTTTTTTTAACATTTTCTGTTGTAATTTGTGTGTTTAAAGAAGGTGACTACCGGTGGGTCACTTGGACCTTGGCATATACATGTATATAAGTAGTGCCGTGTGACCCACCGGAGGTCACATCAGTAATTTCCACTTTTTTTTCTATTATTCTTTGTTATTTCATTTAAGTTTTAAAATGGCGAATAGAGATTATTCAGTAAAACCAAGCGTTTTTTATGGAAGTCGTTATCGAGACGAGGAAGAGAGGGGGAGGAGGGGACCGATGGTACTGACTTTGAACCGTCTGGATCTGATGACTATGTCCCATCAGATTTTGATTCCAGCGATTCGGGCGAACAATTGGAGGTAGATACAGATGCTCAGTCTGAACGTGGTGTTTCTACAAACCCAACCCTAAATATCTGGATTAATGTAAGTGGAGCATTTTTGAAGTCCTTCACTTTTGAGTCAACATCTACAAATAACACACCGGAAGTTAATGTCTGTTCAATGGAACCTATCGATTTGTTTAATTTGATGGTAACCGAAGAAGTGTATGAGCTTATTGTTATCCAAACGAATTTGAATGCCAACAATTGGGTCCGAAATAGACCCATCCGTCGAAATTCGCGAATGAAGGCTTGGGTAGAGACTACCATTCCAGAGATGAAGAAATTCCTTGGTCTGGTCCTATACATGGGAATCGTCAAATATCCAGCTATCTCCCTGTACTGGAGCACTAATATTTTTTATAAAAACTCATACGTTCCTAAAATTATGACGCGAAACAGATTTCAATTGCTTTTGAAATTTATACATTTTTCGGACAATTCCGTAACCCAAAGTGATCGGTTAGGAAAAATTAGCAGTTTATTGGAAGTCCTTGAGAAAAATTTTATAAACGCTAACACTCCAGG